CGTACGAAGAATGTACTATGACCTCCGTTCTTTACATGGGCAAGCTGTGGAAAAAAGAAAACTCCCCTTGTTTGTAAGACTACAGACTTTTAGTTCTGTGATTTCAAATTGCCTTGTTTCAGCTTTCCTCCTGGAAATGTTTTGTGTAAATTTAATCTCGTGTGAATTTAAATGAGATGGCTGGTCAGTAGTCACTTGGTACTCATGAGCCAGTTTATAAACCAGAGTTAAATTTATACCTGAGAAATACCCATCCAGTTGAAAATACCCAGTGCACAAACATAAATGCGTGATCCTAAAGAGACAATTTCTAAATAATCAATGGGCCTGGCCCCGGCCCCTCGCATGTCCCCGTGTGTAGAAGGAGAAGTGTTCATCTCATTGCACAAAGACCAGTTGGGAACCTAACAGTAGTTATCAGCTCATAAGCCACCGGTTATTGCTTGTTGATGTCACACGGACTGCTGAATACGATGTGGTAATCCTTGTATATTGTAATTAAAGAGCAAAAGTCAGTAAAAGCCACCTGTCGTTCTAGAGTACGGTGGCATTAAAGCCAGGGTGAAGATCAGAGATGAGTCGTGCCTCTTTGCTTTTGGTAGAACTAGGCTGAAGCTAGACAGAGAAAGATACGAAAGAGAAAGTAAGTGCATCATCTTTTTCAAATTCTGAACAGTGTACAGCTCAAATTGGGACCTCCTGCATTTGCCACAGTTTTCTTTTGTACGTTCTGTCAGATGACTAACAAAAAAAATGAAATGTTACAGTGATTCTCCACGGGGTGCAATTTGGGGATTTCCGAAGGAACTTAATTCATTAGAGATTCATTACTGGTCATGTATAGATGTCTCATCTTCATAACTGATCCAGTTTGTGGGGGATAAATCCGTTCTCTTGGTTTCTTACTGCATAATCCCAAGACTTGAGTTGGATTTTCCTCTCTCCTTTTGTGTAAGCCTAGTTTAAAAGAAAAAGCCAAGTCACGGATTTGGTAAAATGCAAACAATTTCACATTTGTAGACATACTGTCTTGTCTGTTTGGCTCTGCAAAATTACACTTTCCTGATATAAACAGTAAGCTGCTTAGGGAAGAATTCCAGCAATTTGCCTTTCCCAACCTAGCACATAGCAGCCAGCGAGGCAATTTATGTGCAGTGACTCCCTGTTCTTGTTTAATTTCCTCAGACAAAACAAGAGATTGCAGTGGTGCCTGCCAGTTCAAAGCAGCACAGAGTGTTTCTCTGGCCTGTGTCCTCACCTCATGAATCAGGAGGTGAGAGCCAAAAGGGCTTCAGAGTCCTCTGGTTCAGTCTTTGTTTTACTGATAACAAACTGAGGTCCAGATGAACTCACTAAAAGTTACGCAGTGCCTAAGTCCTAAGTCTGAGTCTCGAATTGTTTTGCTTAACCTTAAAATTTTCCTTGATGTCCCTTTCCTCTGGCTTTCTCCATAATGATTACCTCTGGTATAGGATGAAAACAGCCTGCAGAGTGCATTAATTGTATCCCAGTTCTTGGAATAGCTGCAGACTAGCAGAAAGTATGATCACCAATCGCTGCTTGTGTGATAAAGCCTGGTTTTGGGGCTGGGATTCCCACTCAGTGAGCGAAGTGCAGGCTCTTCTCTTTCTTTCTAGGGGATTCCAGGGCATACCCTGGCCATTGCAGACCAGCCTGCTCCAGTGATGAAAGGACCAGCTTTACTGAGCCTCGCTGCCTGTGAGCTGGGTGTAACCCTTCTGATCGAATCCCAGCTTCCTGATCAAACATTGCAGGGGCCTGGAGTCCACTCTGTACAGTTACTGTGATGAATGTAACTATGAAATGCAATGGAAATATGAAATGTATGTGACAGAGATGTTTTAGAGTGAAGGACCAGAAGGAAAAGATGATGCTAGGAGGGATTGGAGTCTGTGTTTCCGTGAAGAGACGTGAGATATATTGTATAGACTGTGTGTGTCTTCTCAACTCTTGTGAAATACATGGTTGAAGGGCTGTGCTCCCTAGGTAAATCTCTTTGAAAGCTTAAGTTGGAAAATCGTATTTCTTCTTGTCTGATAAACAGGAATCAGCCAGAGAGGCGATTTTGATGTCCCTTCTCAGAGCAATGGGAAACCACAGCTGTCTCTTTGGACAAAAGCAGAAGTGTGTTGTGACTTTGAGGGAGAAGTGGTGAATAACTCAACTGTTGGGTGAATTTATAGAAGGAATAAAAATACTGTTTAAAAAATATTCTTTTAAAAAGTTGTTCTCGTATCTGGAATAGCTTCGGTCGGTTAAGTCTGTGCCCTGTAATGAGAAAGACACGAAAGTGATAGTAAGTAGGCCCCTACCCACGAGAGGTTTACCTTCTGATTGGTGGCAGACGGGCACGCAAGGTTATCTGTGATTTCAAACCCAGACTGTGCTGGGAAGGAAAGTAAATGATGGGACCTGGAGAAGAAAGAGTTCATGCAGAGTAACCAGGAGACAGTAGCCATTTTGTGAATTGTGAACGTGAGATTTGGATTGTTATAGAGAAAAGACAGGCTGTGGTTAAGCTGTGAGTTCAGCATAGAATTTACAGGGAATATAAAAGTCTTGGCTGGAGAGGAAGGTGGAATTTGGTCAGTGGTAGAGGCACGAGCGGATAATTAAGACTGGGACCACCTTTTGACTTCAGACCTAGAAAGAAATAATAGTTCTAAAGAGACACTTTGGTCTTTGGGGTGTGTGTTGCATGTGTACACACATTTCCAACAACCCTTGGTAGGTTTTGGTTTGGAGCCCCCAGTGCAAGGTGCTGCCTTTAAGAGCTTCTGCTTACTCTGCTGGTGCCTGAGAACCAGGAAGAGCTGGAGTTGGCCATTACACAACACATTGTGATGCACTGACCTCACTACTTCCTATTTCCATCTGCAGGGCCTACTGGAAGGAACCACTCAGTGGATGTTAGCGAGTAGGGGTTGCAGGGGGCATCGAGGACGTGAAGTCTATATTCTCTGTAGAAAACTTGGCATGTACTTGGTGGACACAACTTTTAACACAACTGGCAGTTGAAGGAGTTGAACTGGAGCGGAAGGAAGAGCAGCAGCTGCAGCCTATTAACCTGTGAACGGGGTCTAACAGCCCACACCCCTGAGTTCTGTGCAGTTTCTCCCAACTTCCCTCTCCAGCCGACCTCTATTCTGAATTCATAGGCTCGTTCGAAAGCTCCATAGTAAATAAGTTCCAGCATCATTTTTCCAACCTTCTGTGCCAAGCCTGCAGGAGACCACTCTTCGAGTGACCTTAAGAGGTGGCTGGAGGTGTGCTCGCTCCCACTCAGACTGTGCATAAGCCGCAGAGAAGCAGGAAGCTCCCAGCACTGGCAATGACAGGGACCCCTGCACTCACTACGAGTAGGGTTTTATCTGAGGCCCCTCTGGGACAGGCACATAGATTGAGTGAATGTCCTCGTGCTCGCTGGGCCTGCACAGATGGGCGGCATCTCGGTGAGAGCTTTTTCCCTGGAAGGATCCAGAATGCTCATCAGTACAGTGAAGGCAAGATCTGCTTTAGAATAAAATAAAGCTTCACTGAAGCGTGGTTTACCTACCATAAAATCCATACATGTTAAGTATGTGACTCGGTGATGTTTTAAATAAATTTACAGAGCTGTGTAATGATCACCATTCCCATCCAGCTGTAGGCAGCCAATAACTATACTAATAGATTAACGCACTTGAACACGTCCAAGGAACGGAATCATAAAATTGGCCTTTCGCTCCTAGCCTCTTTCACTTCGCGTACTGTTTTTGGAGTCCATCCCTGTTGCACATAGGCATGTGCTCCTCTCAGACCCTCCCATCCTCCCCTGTACCAGGGACCGGACTCAGGACCTTGTGATTGCCAGGCAGGCGTGGAGCCACTGAGCTACATCCCCAGCCCCACTTCTCAGATTCTTAGCCACCTCTTTTGCCTTATAAGATAAAACACACAGCTCCCAGGGATCTGATGTGAGTATCTTTTGGCAGGGTTTTTTGTTATGTTTTAATTAAGTCCTACAACAGCTATGAGCATTCAGATAAGGTATTTTTTTAATAGACATACGGTTTTCTTTCTCTCTGCGGATACCTGGTTGTAGATTTGCTGGGTTGTGTGGTCAGTTTATGTTTCAGCAGCCCCCAGACTGGTTTCCAAAGGGGCTGTCATTTTGCATTCTCGCCAGCACATAGTTCTAATTTCCCCTCACACTTGCCAAATGACTTTTTTTTTTTTTTTTAAAAGATCGCAGCCCTTCTTGTGGGTGTGAAGTAGTATCTGATTGTGGTTTTAATTTACATGTCCCCGGTGACTAATAACATTATCTTTCTTGTGCTTATTAGTCACACACGATTTTTAGCAAAATGGCTATGCAAAGCGCCAGCCTGCCGCAATGTTGACTTGACACCTTCCTTGTTGGCTGAGTTGTTTTGAACAACCTGGACCAGGCATTGCAGTCCGTGGGGGCTGAGTTTGCCTCCATCAGAGGTGCTGGGGCAGCCCCACTCCCCAGGGTGTTTAGGGCAGGGCAGGGTGTCATCCCTGCACCAGCCTGTTCCTGGAGAGTAGATGACACTCTCTTGTGGCCTTTTGGCCACTAAATACTGTCAGGGAAACCAATAGATTGTAAGGTTAGTATACTGGGTTTTCCTTTCCTAATGCTTATCCTATTGTAATTAAAGTTATTTCTGTGATTATATAATTAACGTCTTTCCTACCCCCCAACTGTTAGGTTCTCTCAGAACAAGGATCACGCCTCCTCTGTGCTCTTGTCACTCTCTGAGCAGTCTCTAGTATCATCTGTGGTGCACAGTGGGCGATCCATCGGTGTTTGTTGGATGGTGGGAATGGGGCTCCTCTCTCTCCTTCACCACGGGTGATTCCCAAGAAGTCATTTCACAGAGGGTTGTTTGTTGAAGAGATCCTTCAGTATCCCCCCCACATGTGCCGTTAAAGTCTCACGCTTCCTAATTTCACCCTTTCTTCCTCATTTGCAGTGATCTATAACTACAATGCTTCTCAAGATGTGGAACTCTCCTTGCAGATTGGTGACACAGTTCACATCCTGGAGATGTATGAGGGTAAGTGCGGCTGGCCCTCCGCCAGACAAAGGCACAGAAAAAGTAGTGGGGTTACTTATTAATAAGGCACTTAGAGTAAACATCAGCATGTTCTACTTCCTGAAGCGGTGCTCCTAAAAATCCAGGAAGGACTCAGGTGATACCGTATGTACTGAGAGTGATTTCAAAACACTCCACTGGGAGTGCTCAGTTGAGGTCTGTGGATGTGGGAAGGATGCTGTTTTTGTCCTACCCTCTGCATACAGAAGGGTGAGCAACAGAGCTGGCTCACCAGGAGATACTGGGGACACTGGGCTGGTGGTAGGTAGCTGGGAGAAAATGTTGGTTCTTTCTACTCAGTGGTAAATGTTGCCAGCTTGGGGGAGAGAGTTGGTAACGTTAATGAGATTCTTTCAGAAAATGAGGTCAGAACTACAGCAGAAAGCCCTTCTTGAATATTTCTTCTAATTAGGTCAGGCTTGGGGGTGGTTCCAGTTAAATTGTTACTGATCAGTAGTGCTGTACTTAGGACTGTTTGTCTGCAAAGCACAGGTCCTGTCTGCACTCCACACCCCAGGCTTGTAGCTTCAACCCAAATTCTCTATACCGTAAGAAAAGACTTCCCATGTGTCCACATTTCTAGTGCCAGCTCCCACAGCAACAAAAGCTTATCTGGGCCACTGAAGTTGAGGGTTGAAGCAAAGAACCTTTAGGGCCTGGTTATTTCCTGCAGAAGTTGGGACAAGAACAAGGTGGGAAAGAAAGAAAAAGTCTTTTTCTCATAGATGCAGTTTTTTGCAGCAGACACTGCATTTGCAAGGTATGGCTCCTGTGTAGATGCTTGTGAAGATGGAGTGACATAATTTTCATCTAGACTCCCATGAAGGTGCCTATGCTAGGGCAGGATGATGCAGGAGGAGGAGACAGGAATCCAGGAGGAAAGGAGTTAGAGTTTGCCCTAACAAAACTAAATCACCCCGCTGGTTGCCCAAAAGACTCAGCTTTGACCTCTGCTTCCCTTTCTTTTATGGTGGAAGGCCAGGGTTTTGCATTATGTTTTCCCTTCTGCACAACTCAGTGTAATCACAATCCTTTGGGGCAGGAGAGGAAGGGGAAGGCTCTGTGGGGCCTTCATCCTTGTCATCTCAGGCCTGACCAGGCATTGATTCTAAGTCACCAAGGCACTTCAGGCAGCTCCTTTCTGTCTTTGGGACTCCTTTGGGTATGGAAACCAGTCAGACCTCTTCATCGAGGGAGCAAAGGAGTACACTATGTAGTTTCCTTGGACATAGATTTCCCCATTGTGCAAATAAAAAGCATACGTTCAATTTCTGTAACTCTTCAATGTGAGCTTAGAAAGAACGTGCATTTGAGAGTCACTGAGTACAAAGTTCTACACAGGATATTTGCTTTCTGTCATCCTTATTTTCTTCTTTGAAGATATTAATAATTATTTTTCCGACATTTTATTATGAAAAATCTCAAACATCTCAAATACCTCAAAAAGCTGAAATAATTTTACAGTAAGCATTTACCTATCATTTATATTCCTTGTAATTTTAATTCGTATTGCTTCTTGTTTACAGTGCATAATGATTTTATTCCTAATTGGGGGTTGGTACATGGACATAGTACATCTTAATTCTTTTCTTCATCCCCTTCCCCTTGTCCCTCCCCACTCCCTCCATGTCTTGGTCCCCTTCCCTTTTGCAGAAGATCTATGTCGTTTCCTGTTACCTGTTTTTTATTTTGTTTTTAATGTATTTATATTTTGGGTTTCTCGTGTAAGAGAAATTATGTGATATTGAAGCTTGTGTGTCTGATTTACTTCAGTTAACATTATGGTCTTGTGGTGCCTCCATTTTTCTACGCATGACTCATGTAAATAGTATGACCACTGTGGAAACTGGTATGATTTCCTGAAGAGCTAAAACTAGAAATTCCATCAAACCCTGCTATTCCCCTTCTAGGTATTTTCTTGGAAGAGTTAAAGATGTCATATGACATGGATACAACATCCCCATGTGTATAGAAGTGCAACTTATAATAGCTAAATCTTGGGAGCGATCCATATGTCCATCAACAAGTGCGTGGATGAAGACGATATGGCATTTACGCCTCATGGAGTGCTACTCTACATAGAACATTTAAATTTTGATTTTGTGATCAGTTTTTCAAATTAGCCAATTATTTTTTGTCCCTGAGAGAAGGGTGTCAAATCTCCCATTATTTCTTGTTTTTTTTTTTTTTATTTTAATCTTTACAATGATGTCACTTGTTTGCTTTATGTATTCTAAGACCTGTTTTTAGGTGCCTACCATTTTAGAATTGTTGGGTTATACAAGTCTAGCTTTTAATTTCTGCTTATTAAACCTTTGATCATTTGTCTTCATCTTCATAATGCTTTGTCTTATTCTAGTTGTCTGAAATTACAGCCAGCTCATTGGCTCTAATTCCTGTCCTCCAATTCCAGTCAGAAATGCTGCTCCAAGCCACTGAGACATCTTCTCAGATCATCAGGTCCCCCAAGAAGAAAGCAGCCACAAATAATGTGCTGTCGTTTTGGCTTTGGGCCTTCTGCAGATCTTCTGGTGGTTCTTCATGGCCACATTAGCTGGTGCGGCATTTTGCCAAACTTTCCTAATTATTCTATGGAATGTGGCAGGGAAGAATGGAGTATTGATGTCGACCTGAAATAAAATGGGTGCATTTTTAAAATTTTTAATTTTTTATTTTTCTTCATTTGAAAGGCATTCTTAAGATTCTCTTTTCGTTTTTATGTGACATAGAATAAGCCACTTTGTCCTCATAGGACATATATTACTAGTAATTTTAAAAATGTTTATTGGTGTCTGTCTGTGGTACATTGCGATTGCATTTATTTGTGGAGCTGGTACATGTACGTGACATTTCTCATTTCCTTTTTAGCCCTCTTACTCCCTCCACCTCTTGGTCCCCTTCCCATATGTGTTTTAATACATGTTTGTGGTATACGATGATCACATTCCTTATCGGGACTCAGAATCTCCCTTTTTATACTCATCTCCTTTTCCTTTCCACCTACCCCTCCTTCGGTTCCCTTCCCATGTGCAAATAGTAATTTTAAGTGTGCTCTCTACTGAACCAAGTGCTCTCACAGTTGGCCAGTGCACATTCCCAAAGGCCCAAACTAATGTGGTCACTCACCTTAACTGAACCCACAAATGAATGTACCTTTGGATTTCACACTTTTTTTTTTTTTTTTTTTTTTTTGATACAGGGATCAAACTCAGCACCTTGTGTTTGTGAGGCAGGTGCAGTGCCACTGAGCTAAATCCAAGGCTCTCACACCTATTTTTTAAAAAAATATTTTGGAACACTGGCATGTACATAATGAGATATCTTGGAGAATAGTCCCATCTCTGAACACAGACTCGATTATTTCTAATACAAGCTTTTGCTTCTAGCCTGGAGGTAATTTTTATATAATATGGTCAATAATTTTCTCATGAAATTTCAACATTTGGAGCATTTCAGATTTTAGATTTTGGGATTAGGGATTCTCAAGCTGTACTAAATGTAAACACAGACATTCAAACATCCATTTCAGATTCCCCACTCTTGAGTCAGAAAAGTCCTAAACTCACAGAACTTCTGCACACACTGTAGGCTTTCGGGAAGGGTTGGCCCCCTCGACAGTTGTATGAAAACTGTTAATTTCATACATCTTAATTAATCTTCACATGATGATCCAGGAGCTGTAGGTCCTGCCTGCAAAAAGCCAGTTTTCTTGCTAATTACATGCTGTGTCAGCCATAGTATGCTCTCCTCTCAGAGAGAGGGACACCACGGCCGGCTCTGTAAACACGGACATGTGACCCATGTGAATCGGGAGGCTGTGAACAGGAGCCTGCTTCTTGGGCTTGCTGATGTCAGTAACCACCAAATGGCATGTCACCTTCACAGAATGATTATTACGTTGGGTTATACTTTTTGATAGTGTTGCCGTTACAGCATTAATTTTTTAAATAGTGCCTGCCTAGAGGCCCAGGGTTAGGTTCTTGTATCCGCTAAGCACTTAAGAGTTCTTGGCTGAAATCTTGAATTCCTTTATGATTTCAGGCAGCTCAGGATTAAGCGAGGGCAGGAGAGCTTTGCAAACATTAAACACTCTGGAAATGCTGAGTGACAGCTTGTGTTCATTCCCTCCTCCCCTGCCCCGTCTTTATTTCAAAACAAATACACACAGTGGAAACACGGAGGGCACTGCCAGACGGACTGTATGGGTAACACTGGCACCATTTCTTGCTCCGGGGATTTTGTGTCTGGCAATTTCCTGTTGGTGACTCCTGGGACTTTGCCTCTGTACTTTCTGCTCCACCCTGCCTTTGAGATACACATACCAGATCTGTGTGTGCTTTTCTGGCAGCTTGGACAGCAGTCCGCGCAGACAGAAAAAATTCTTTTCTGCCTGCAACCCACAACAGAACGCCACTGAGGACTCTCCTTGGGCTGTTTCCTGCCCTGCGGTTGAATGAGTGATTCCCCAAGCGTAGTGTGCTCTTTGGATGGTACAGGTGGCTTCTCCTTTATCTGCAGGTGCTCGACTGCTGCTATTGCTCCTGCCAAACACTCGGTGCTCAGCAGAAGCCTCTGGATGCACAAAGATGAAAGGGGAGATGAGGGTCAGCTGACACAGAGACGGGGGAGTCAGGGTCCCCTCCACAGCGACTGAGGTGTCGCAAGGCAGAGTTGCTTGTTCCTGCTGCGAGGGAAACACGTTAGGTTCTTTATAGCCTGCAGAAAGATTTGGTCGATGCTTCCATTTTTATCTTTGTTTTTATTTTTAAGATAGCAGCCTTACTGAGATGTAACTCACATCTACCCATTTACAGTCTTTAATTAAATGACTGTTACTACGTACGCTGCACCCACAGTTGGGCAACCGCTGTTGCTGTCTAGGTGCAGAACGTTTTCCTCACACCAAGAGCAACTCTGCATCTTCGTAGGCGTGCTTCCTTATCTAGGCAGAGAGAAATCTA